TTTATCGCCTCCAAAACTACTTGTTTCTTTATATGTTGTATCATAAAGAGTTGACGGGATTATTGTTCGGAGAATTTCTTTCGTATCCTGCACTGAGAAAAAAGAGTAGAATAATAAACCTTAGCGCTAAGTACAGTTTTTCATAAACTCTTTAAAGGTTTATGAGAGGAGGGGTTTATGAAAGCAAGGGTATATAAAATTAAAAAGAGTTTATAACTGCTACCGAAGGGTTTATTATGCTGAAGTTTACGGGGAAGGGTTTATTATTCTACCCTGAAGGGTGTATTGTTCCTTTGACGACGGATGTTTTTTTAATCAAAAAGAAAATTTTTTTTTGATTTTTCAAACAAAATGGCAATTTGTAAGTAAAGTACTCGTTGTTGAATCCAAAATCTGCTTCCTTGGCGCTGCAATAAGCACATCTTCTTCTTTTTCCTTTCACTGGCAAATGCATTTCATTATCAAAAATAAGGACAGTTTTTGGTGATGCTAGTTTAGACTTCTTTTCAGAAGGAGATCTTCCACGAGTTATTCGTTCACTGCCGGAGCTGAGAGACTTCATCCCTGAAACTATGTAGTTTAAGTATGTCAATTTATTCTGAGCCTACTGATTATTTCAAATAAATAAGTTGGAAATAGATACATTTAGAAAATAAAGAAAAATTCGAAGCCAGCTGCTTTTAGACTTGCAATCAAGCTTTTAGCGGGATATTCTTTCGCTGGGTCGATCAACTCCATGTACAAACTGATTGTAATCTTTTATTGCTGTTGGACAGTTAATTGTAATACGTTGACCATTTTTCAACCTGCAGGAAATCGGAATAACTTTGTTGTCTTTATGATAATTTGAAGCCAAAAAAACTTGTTTGGTATCCATCCATATGAAGACAATGCTGTTCGATATAATCATTGACTTGTAATCCACTCGTTTCATTTTATATTTCTTGGCAAAATTCGACGGAATACTTGCCCGATCTGGTCTAATCGTTCTACTGACCTTTATGTTCTGTAATTTTAGCTTTTCTAATAACCCGAGAGAAGTGAAAAAATTATCGAAATATAGATGTTTTTTTTCCCAAATTATGATCAGAGATAAGATCGAAAACAACACGTTCGCCCAAAGGTATTTCTCTTTCACTGGTTTCCTCTTTTCCTAAATAGATTTGATAGTTGAATAAGTAACCAGTGATTGGATCACATAAACACCAAACGTTATGCTCTCCTTTTATTGGTTTTAGAGGCAAATATTGCTTGAAGCTTGATCTTTTCTTGAATTTTATCATACTTTCGTTGATTGTACCATAGCGGCCAAAGTTATAATTTTTCTGGAAATTTCTCTGTAAAATTTCAGTAAAATTCTTAACTTTGTAAATTTTACTGTAGTTTTTAGATTCTCGTTTTGGTTTCAATGACCTATCAGCCAAATGTAGATTATAAAAAATTTGAAGAAAACGATCTGTTGATATGATCGAAGAGATAAAATGTATTATGGAATGCCACATCTTTGCTCCAACAAAGTTTCATATTTGACAAGTTATTGATACCCATTAGAATAATCAACCCGAGAAACGATTCCATATCTTTTTTGCTCACATCCTTACAGTTACTGGTTTTCTTCTGATTGCTACTTCGTTTCTTTCCTTTCCATAAATGTTTGTTTGATTAGTAATCAGGTTTAAAATTTCCTCAGTAAAAAAAGGTTCTAAAGACTGAAACTGGAGTTCTCTCTTTGGGAGAGATTGAGGTAAAGCCGCCATCCGTGATATAAATTTCATTCATTGAATTCAGCTCCTCTGCATATACATTCATATCTTCATTAGAAAGTTCAAGCTCATCCAAGTTATCGACTAGTTCATCGTAATCGAAATCGAAGCCACTCTCGCTGGTGTCATCAATGACATATGAATCACAGGACTCATCGTCGACTTCATTATTTCCATAGAATTCAATTTGTTTAGCTTTAATTGTAAAACGGTATAAAGAAGTAAAGAGCACGAGTTTGAAAGATAAGTGATATGCTTTGCAAATTCAAGAACAACGTAGAGTCGTCAATGAAAACGGGAGTATACTTATATATACCCAATACAGAATGAGAATATCCTCGAAAAACAAAAGATCAGAGGAGAAGAGAGAAATTTTGACATCACTGTACCTTAGCAGCAAGAACAAAGGATATTTGAACAGAATTTATATGAGAAAAGGAAAGAAAGAAAAAAAAACGTATAAGATGACAAATATGGTTGTATATGACCTTAATGACCTTACATATTTAATAGTTTAATGTGAACTAAACACTTTCTTCTCTATTGAAAAATAGGTGGGACAAATATGTTCCACCATCCTCAAAGGATTAAACAACACCCGTACCGTCCCACGACGATGACTAAAATACTTTCAACTCATCCCCGTAGCGGACCATAGGAATGGGTCGCCTAGGACTTGACGATTTTCAAAAAGTTTTGATGAAAATATTCATAATACAGAGTGCCCATATGAAATATAACCTCCAAAAGAGATTTCGTCCATAGGCGAAGCAATGATACTAAAGGGTTAATCGTCTAAAGTGTCACGATTTTGACGACATCGGTTGAGAGTCACACACAGAAACAAATAACATTCTCCAAAAACTCTTGAAAAGTCGATCCGTTTATTTACTAAATACGTCATATAGAACTATACTTATGATAACAAAAGAATTGCCTCGTAAAAAAACTCCTATGTGAATGACACAAACATATTAAAGTATATTATGGGATAAAAACGTAAACTACCGCTATCCTGATCGTTTCAGAGGTAAGTTTTGGCCTGCGGAAAATCTGATTGTACTATTAGATAGAGCTCATCGAGATGTACCTAGAACACCACTTGAACATTTGGAACATGTTCCTGGACGAATATCGGATGGTTTTACTCGAATATCTTGCTAACTTCACCTACGTTCACCGAACAGGCATATAGATCAACATTTTGTGTCATTTTTCTGAATCTCACAAAAGTGCTTCTCGTTTCTATCATGTCGTTTCATTTATGACAGTGTTATAAACATAAGTTATATACGGTTTCAAAGAGGAAAAAAGTCTCTATCTTCTGGTAAAAAAATTTTCTTTCAGTACCTTTCTACGGAAGAGAAATAGGGTCCAACATTTGTCCCATTACTTTTGCAACATATTTTATATATGAGTCACTTCATGTACGCCACGACCAATTCTGCTTAATCAGAGATCCCAAACTTCTGATTGCACTCTGGAATAGTGTTTGGCTCTGCAGTGCTTGACAAGAAAGTTTGAACGTCATTTCACCTATATCTTGTGAGAAAATATATTGGGAAGATGATTTTTCTATTATTTTCTGATCAAAACCTTGAAAAGTCTCACGAAAAGCCGTTCAAAAAGTCAGTAGAACACGACAGAAAGATCTTCAATAAGAATAAAAACTTTGGTTCTCTACCTAAAAACATATGCTCTACAAGATGGAATAGATATCTCAAGAATCTAAGCCTATGATTGAGCAACCTTTTACGGTCGTAGGTCGTGGCTTATGTGAACTGGCTCATATATACATGTTCTCTGGTTAATAATTAGATAGATATCTGTCTGCAAGGGTATTTTTGTTTAGCTTGAAAATAAAAGGCAAAAAGATCAAACACAAGGTCCTAATAGCAGTATATTTGTCAGTCTGATACTTCAAAATGTTTGCCTAAATGATAACAGACTTTATCTGATAAAGCGGCATTTTTTCTCATATTAAGAAAGTGAATATTCTAATATGCTTGTAAGAAAAACTAAAGTTTCAATAAGAAAGCGCATTTTAAGAAAACGTATTCTGATGCATCTGTAAAAAAAACACATGTTTTTCAATAAAAGAAAGCTAAAAGGTAAGTTCTGAATGCATGAGAAATAAATGCGTTCAAATGTTCACAAGAAAATGTGTCCGGAATGGTAATTCAAATGACGTTTATTGGAAAATTAAAGACGTGTTTCTCATAAACGCACCTAAACAGTAGTTTTAGATGACATTATAAACTGAAAAAATGCACCGCAGATAAAAATAATGTGATTATACACATTGCAAATAAAAACCTATGCATTTGAATGCATTGTAATGGAAAGCATTGCGTTTAATAGCAAAAATAGCATTTTTGTCGTCATAGTTGTCATTAGAATGCCAGTTATACAATTCTTTTCCCGTGTGAATGAGAAATATGCAAACTCATTTCTTGATAAATAAAAAAAATTGATGTAACAAAGAAAAAAAATAGTAGTTGCCCTTGAGTCGTTCCTATTCAGTGAATATGATGCTTTTATTTACGCAGTGTTTCATACGTGTAGTGACTCTTTCAATGTATTATTGTTAGGTTTTTCTTCTCTTCTTTATCCATGCGAAACGCTAATAAATGATATTATGGATTTTTTTAATCACTTTTTGATAGTATAATCTTACACAACTTTTGTCACTTATTCATGCCAAAACGAAAAACCAAGAACTCAATGATTCTACGTAAACTCCTTGGTCAAATACATCAACTAAGACTTCCACGGTTAAACTAATCTCAAGAGATGAATTTCGTTAACCACGTTAAATTGCTCCAAACACAACGAGACTTGACGAAGACTGGTTGAATGTAGTAAAAACCCGTTCGGAAAACTAAGCATAATAATGTTTTTTTCTTAATTGATCTTTGCGCATTACTGCTCGGTTTATCCTTGAAAACGATAAAAATCGTGAAGGTTACGCTGAAAACGGGTAATAACGCATAAATCTAGGAAAACTAAACATTGTTTAACGTGTTCCAGAATCTGTAACACGTTCTAACGATAATCCAATGTTAAAACAGAGTTTTAACAAAATTTTAACGCGTATCTTAACAGTCATATCTTGCTGGATAATGTTTTATTAAGTCACTTTGTATTATTTGTCAAGAATATTTTGCATAATTTATAAAACTTCTCTTATTTTCTTTCTAGTCTTTAATCAATCGCATACGAAACGATTCAGTAGCAATGTCAACTGCAATAACAAAAAAACTAAATTTATCATTTACTAACAAAACAATTATTACCGTTTCACTTATTATAACAATATGTAGTCTCTATTATTTTGTTATCAACAATAAAATATTATCCTCAACAAGAAATCTTCTTGTTACATCGTTAGCACTATCATCGTCATCATTATCATCAGCAGAAAGCCTTAATTCTAATCAATGTCGATTATCTATGAAAGAATCTGACGATTGGTTTTGTGAATTAGATTCTGATTGGAAACGTCGAAAAATACTTCATCATATACAAGATAAACGTAATTGTGTGTCAGATGCACGTTCATTATTTTTTCAGAACAATTGGGAGCCAACAATACAGTGTGAATTCGAACGACGTGTTGGTAACAGTGGTGATGGTGGAAAATGGGTTTGTGACATACATCGTTTTGGATCTATGAATACAACAAATATATTAGTTTATTCATTGGATTCTAGTGGTGATTTTAGTTTTGAACAAGCAATTAAAAGACTATTTCTAAATGCAGAAATTCATACATTTGATATGGGATTATTTCAATGTCCTCCAAATGTTTGTTCATTTCATCAAGTTCGTTTAGGAAGTGGAAAAAATGATAGTTCAAAATCTTTACAAATGATTGTGAATGAACTTGGTCATCAAAAACGATAAATTCATATACTTAAAGTTGATATTGAAGGCAGTGAATTTAATTTTTTTGAAGAATTATTTCAATCTTCAAATGATAACCCAAGTAATTTACCGTATATTCGTCAGATTCTTTTTGAAATTCATCTTGGTGGTGATANAAAAGTTATTGAATCAACAGTGGTGCAGGTCCTATTGAAAGGATAGTATAGCAAATGCGATTTATGTATGGTATTTACTAACTCGTGAAGAGAACGTGCTAGATCCTTGAAATTTTGTGGAGCGATGTCTAATAGTTAGTCAGTTCTGCACACAAAGTTTCATTGAAAACTGATGATCCTAAAGTATATAGCTTAATGTGTCATGAAAATTACATTTTTTAGTGTTTAGTGGGTTCCATTTCAGACACATTTTGGAGTCCCCAACGCCAGGAAAACGAATTTTTCTCTAAAAGAAAAATATGTCATCCCATAGAGGAGAATTCAGAGAATAATTTTTTACGGATGAGATTTTTTTTTCTAAAGGCTTTGTAAGAGTAGAGGACTCGGTAAGAACTACTTTTTTCGCTGACATCAAAATAGCTGGAAAATACGATTTCTTTCGATTTTTATAACTCAGCCAAAGAACATCCAACCCGCAAAACATTTTAACCCTAGACCCTTGGTGGTTGATCCTACAAACTGACAAAATTTGAGGGTATGCTAGGGGGTACCCCCCCTCCCTCCGCCCTTAAGTTTCTGAAAATACGCTAAGAGTTTTTGAGCATTCGAAAACGTACGAGTGATCGGAAGATAGGTCCGGAAATTCTCAATCATATCATTAGAAACGCTTGTGCTATTTTCTAAATCGGAAAGGTTTTCCTGGAAACCGGTTTTGATGTAAAAATCTTCTGGAAAACCATTGTGTTTTCGATAATTTTTTATCGAAAACCTCTCCAGATTTTTGGAGAATCGGAAACGATGAAAGTGTTTCCGAGAAATCGACAGTGCTTTCCGGACATCTTTTGGAACACCTTCTAGGTTTTCAAATCTTCAGGAAATCCTTACGCTTCCGAAAAAGAGTTTCGCAGACTCATCCAGTATTCTCAAACAGCGAAATAGTATTCTGAAGTCTTCTTTTCGATTCTCATGTTTCGATCGTTATTTTAGAAGTCTAGAAATTGATCGATATGCATGATATAAGAGTTACTCAATTTATATGGAATTGTTTGTAAAGCCATTAGAAGTTTGAGAATTAGAAAAATACTTTGTTCCCGAAAGAATCTCGACTCGTTTTTGCATCTTTCAGTGCCTAAAAATCTGAATGGATGGTGAGAAACTTTACTATAAAAAGTGAAGAGCTGCACCAAATCGTCAAGTCATTCAAAGAATGGATCTTTCTCCTTCTCGATTCATTTCTGATTCATCCAAGTACAAGCATTATCATCCTTGTCAGCAGGTTGCAACGAAATATAGTGCAAGTTTTGGTCATTTCAGTATCCTTTCGACAGATTTATACAGAAGATTGATAGTAGGGGAACGATGGAAAGCATGAACAAATCTTCATTAATGAGAGATTGTAAAAGAAATACCGGTTATCTCGGAATCTTTGCAAGATAATTTAGTCTCCATATACCTCCAAAAACTTAAATGATAAAATCTCAATTTTTTTCAAAAGATGAGTCCTGATATTCTGTATGGTTGTCAAAAATAAAACGTCCTTTTGAGTTGTGCTAATAGATTTAGAGAAAGCTATAACAGAACATGTATCAGATGTTGCAGTTTCTCACTTTAGTACCAAGGTAAACGCTTTAAAAACACACTTCTACCATCTAAATCAAATCACATGTACAAAAACTTGTTTCTGAATGCCATCATTTCCATAAAACAAGCATCTTGAGTTCAAAAATAGTCGGGAAGAAGGAAAGATCTGCGAAACGTGATTGTTGTTAAGCTGAAGAAGTAAGCAAATTCCGGGCAGTGACAAACTATAAACTCTTATACATGTTTTCTTTTAGCTCTCTCGAAATCTATTAGCGACAAGTCACAAAAGTTTCTGTGTCCACCTATTGGAAAGAATATCATGACGTATCCTTTCAAAAACAAGTTGACGTTTTTATCAGTCGTCTCTTTGAAGACAAACCAAGTAAAATATCTAGGAAGCATTCTGAGAAAAACAGTAAATATTTAATTCATCACACCGCAAAGTAGTTGTCCCAATTGATCCGGTAAAAGATCCGAGAAAAACACGAACACGAAAACTATACTTCAACAGTAACAAAACTAAAGACAACAAAACTCTAAATGACATAAATATTCTGCTTCAACAGCAATATAAGCATCAGAAGTCACACTGCCTTAAAGACTTTGACTTCAATACGCAAAAGGCTTACATCACTATAGGATCCACTTGACTTCATGTCTCAGAGTTCGACAGAATTTAGGGCCTGATGACATTCACTAACTTCATGGCAATCATTTTGAGACACGATACAAATTATAAACTTTAACGGACTTTATGACGGTAGCTGTGAGAGATGTCACGACTCCGAGACACAGCACTGACTTTGCGACTCTTGCTCAAAAAAATAAACATAAAGGTTCCAAGACTAAGATTGATTTCGTGATTAGGATTTCAAAATATAGGAAGATAATAAGACTCAGACTAACTTGCTCACTCAGTCTTTTCAAAGGAGACATGAAGACTGTAGCAATAGTAATGACAGCGCGACGCCGGTTTTACGGGACATGAAGACTCCTGAACTCAACCTAAATTCATGACATTCTATTTAGGAAACTTTCAACTTTTACCACTTTCAGTGCCTTCATTACCGTCAATTTCCAAAATCGGTACGCTTAATGAATTTCATTACCTTCATGTCTCTGCCTTTCACAAAATAAGCACATTAACAAACATCAGGTTTCAGTCCTAGGCAAAATTAACCCTTTGAGGACGGAATTTTTTTTTAATCGAAAAACATTTTTCAACCTTTTTATTTTATTTTAACTCAAAATGGCTATATAAAAACCTTATGATAATCAAAACAAAAAAAAATGTTATCTCTTAAACAAAATGGCAATTTGCAAGTAAAGCAAGCACTCGATGTTGGATCGAAAATCTGCTTCCTTGGTGCTACAATAAGCACATCTTCTTCTTTTTGCTGTCACAGACAAATGCATTTCATTGTCAAAACTAAGGACAGTTTCTGGTGATGCTAGTTTAAACTTGTTTTCAAGAGGAGGTCTTCCACGACTTATTCGTTCACTGCCGGAGCAGAGAGACTTCGCCAGTGAAACCATGTAGTTTAAGTATGTTAACTTATCTTGAGCTAACTGATTATAACAAATAAATGAGCTGAATACAGATGCATTTAGAAAATAAATAAATATTCGCAGCTAGTTCCTTTTAGACTTGCGATCGAGATTGTAGCACGAGATTTTCTGGCTAAGTCGGTCAACTCCATGTGAATCCTGATTGTAATCTTTTACTGCTGTTGGACAGTCAATTGTAATACGTTGACCATTTTCCAAACGACGGGAAATTGGAACAACTTCGTTGTCTTTATGATAATTTGAAGCCGAAAACACCTGTTTGGTGTCCATCCACACTCTAAAAAAAATCTGTTTTTTACCGAACCCCCAAAAAAGGTTTTGAAGATGTCTAAAAGTGTCCAAAGATGTCCAAAGCCTCAAAAAAAGGATAAAAAAATCTACGAAACCTTTAAAGGTTCTTACCGTGTGCCCAGGATAAGAACCTTTTCCTACGAAACCTTTTTCTGCTGTACGGAACTTAAAAAAAGGTTTCACAGGAAAAGGTTCTTATCCTGGGCACACGGTAAGAACCTTTAAAGATTTCGTAGATTTTTTTATTCTTTTTTTAAGACTTTGGACATCTTTGGACGCTTTTAGACATCTCCGGAACCTTTTTTTGGGGGTTCGGTAAAAAACCGATTTTTTTAGAGTGCATATGAAGACACTGCTGTTCGATGCAATCAATGACTTGTAATCTCCTCGTTCCATTTTATTTTTCTTGGCAAAATCTGACTGGGTATCTGCTCGATCTGGTCTAATAGTTCCACAGGGTTTTATTTTCTGTAGCTTTAGCTTTTCTAATAATCTGAGAAAAGTGAAAAAGTTATCGAAATATAGATGTTTCTCTTGGAAATTTATGACCAGACATAAGATGAAAAACAACATGTTCGCCTAAAGGTGTTTCTTTTCCACTGGTTTCCTCTTTTCCTAAATAGATTTGATAGTTGAATAAATAACCAGTGATTGGATCACATAAACACCGAACTTTATAACCTATTTTTATTGGTTTTAGAGGCAAATATTGCTAGAGGCTTGATCTGTCCTTGAATTTTATCATACTTTCGTTGATTGTACCATAGCGGGCAAAGTTATAATTTTTTTGAAAATTTCTCCGTAAAATTTCAGTGACATTCTTAACTTTGTAAATTTTACTGTAGTCTTTAGATTCTCGTTTTGGTCTAAATGAGTTATCAGCCAAATGTAAATTATAAAAAATTTGAAGAAAGCTATCTCTTGACATGATCGAAGGAATAAATGTATTATGGAATACCATATCTTTACTCCAATAAAGTTTCATATTTGGCAAGTTATTGATACCCATTAGAATAATCAACCCGAGAAACGATTCAATATCTTTTTTGCTCACATCCTTCCAGTTACTGATTTTCTTCTAATTGTTACTTCATTTCTTTCCTTTTCCGTAAATGTTTGTTTGATCAGTAATCAGATTTTAAATTTCTTCAGTAAAAAGGTACCAAGGACTGAATGTGGAATTCGCTCTTTGAAAGAGATTAAGGTAAAGCCGCCATCTGCGATATTACTTTCATTCATTGAATTCAGCTCCTCTTCATATACATCCAAACCTTCATCAGAAAGTTCAAGCTCATCTAAGTTATTGACTAGTTCATCGAAATCGAAATCGAAATCGAAGTCACTCTCGCTAGAATCATCACTGGTATATAAATCATAAGACTCGTCGTCGACTTCATTATTTCCATAGAATTTCATTTGGTTAGTTTTGATGGTAAAAACGGTATAAAGAAATAAAGAGTACAAGTTCGAAGGAAAAATGATATCCTTTGCAAATTCAAGAGCAACGTAAATTCGCCAATGAGAACGGAAGTATATATATATACTCAACAGAGAATAAGAATATTCTCGAAAAACAAAAGATCAGGGAAGAAGAGAGAAATTATGACATCACTGTACCTTAGTAGCAAGAACAAAGGTTATTTGAAACGAATTTATATGGGAGAAGGAAAGAAAGAAAGGAAAAGTATGAGACGGCAGATGCAGTTGTTTATGACCTTAATGACCTTACATATTTAATAGTTTAATGTGAACTAAACACTTTTTTCTCTACTGAGGAATCGGTGGGTGAAAAATAACCCACCCGTCATCAAAGGGTTAAAATAGTTTGTTTGTCAGTGAATCGATTCATGAAAACGTTTGCTACGAACCTGATATTATGACTCATGACCGAGACTATGCAGCGCGATGGAATACAACAGAACGGAGAAAAATACAATCCTCTTCACATGGAATCGAACCATGTATCTCCTGCTTACCAGGCAGACGTATTAATTACTGTACCAGAAAAGCTATCTTCTCNTTAGAGGGTAGGTTCCCCAGTATAATTTTGATATTTACACATTCTAGGATGGCTAATTCGTCTGATCCACTTTTTGAAGTACACATAACTCTCGGATTTAAATCCGAAGTTTCCGCATTTATTTACGTATCTATCCAATTACCCCATTTGGGGTAATTGAAAAAAATGTTTATTAATTTCTGTAGTGTTTGTATCAAAAAACAATTTATTTTAGTTGAATTATCTTAATGAAAAATTGCTAACGATTGTAGAGGATGATCTTCTCTATCAGTCTATGAAAGAATTACTAACTAATGTCATATAATTAATAAAAAAAGTTAATTTTAATTGTTCAGTAAAAAATACATGGATTTATCCAATTTCCCGGTCGTTCTAACATATTTATCCAATTGCCCCTGATGGGGTAAGAGGAAAAAACATGTGCTGGGGCAATTGGAAAACAGGTGGAAAATACGTACCTGTAACTCGAATCTATATCATTCTTATATAGATAGATAGTATATTAGTCACTCTATTTGCATGTCAAATCTCGTAAAAAAGTATTCAGATATAAAAAAGTTATAGCGAAAGCGAAAAAAATGATTGAAAACATATATCCAATTGCCCCACATTACTCTATCTGTTCTATAAAAAAAATAGCTTCACCTTCTCGTACAGAATGACTTTTTATTTTCATATCACCGAAATAATAATGTTGTTTTAATATAAATGAAAGTTCACGTTGATAAAAATTAGTATCTCATTCTTGTAATGATATTATATCAGCATGATATCCTAAAATTTCTTTTAATAAAAGTGGCTTTCTATAATCATGTTCAAGAAAATCTTGTGGACAATATGGATAAATTGTTTGTTGAGCATCTGTTGATGATGCATATGCATATCCATTAGCTAATATATTATAAGATACTAACCGAATTCTAACAAAAAATTAATTTTGCAAAATAAAAATTTCAATTAATTTTAATTTAAAAAAACAAACTTATTTAAGTCAATTGGAAAATATTGTTCAGTTAATTTATGTCTTTTATTCATTGGTAAATCAACTGGACATTGAATAATTCGTTTATTGAATGTATATTCAGATTACATACCTTCTATTAACGAATTATTTTGAGGTAAACATGGAAGACGTACAAATTTATTGACATGTTAATCACGAAATATAGAAAAAGGTCCACGATATATACATGTATCCATTGAGTATTATTATTTTCATGATTATTTTTTTTTTAATTTTAATATCATCTGTAATATACCAATCCAATAATGAATAATCAATTTCTACAATTGCTCTTGTTATTGTTTTTGTTCGACAATTAATCAATGTTTGTTTATTAGTTTTATTTTTATCAATTATTTGATTATTTCTATCAAGTAATTTAACAATAATAGATTGTTTTTCATTATTATATATAAGATCAATCTCTTGTCTTTTTAGACGTTTATTTAATTTATTTTCTTTTATAATTGAATGTTGAATATTATCTGTTAAACGATTTATTGTCTGTGAAATCGATTCATCAGAAGAACGTTATAAATTAAATTGTGATCACGTTTCCTTGTTAGACGAATTTCATAAACGATTTGAATAAGAATTTTAGTTGAATCATCTTTATCAAAGACAAAACATGTTCGCTTATTTGATGATGCCACAAATAAATTTAATCTTGTTGAACGATAAAACTTTTTCAGATTGGAAAATAATTCCTGACTACTACTAGAATTACCAATCGGATGAATATTGAATAAACGAACAAAAATAAACATCTTTTTTTTTATTTTCTGTCTTTATATACAAAAGAAAAAAAGAAAATTAATTTATCTCAAATTTATTTTCCTAAATGATTTATTCCTCTAATAGAATTTTGATAAAAGTACAAGTTCTATACCTGATTAAGAGACCTTTTCTTTTAACGTAAAATACATATATCAGACCTGTTCATCTTTCTCAATTTATGTTTTCTCAATTACGATATATTTTAGTATTTCGCCTATATTGGATAATAACTGACGTATTTTTTTCTTTATTGAAAAAATGAAGAACAACTCAAAATAAGATATATTCGTATTCGTATTCGTATTCGTATTCGTATTCGGTTCGGTTTTTTTCAAAAATAAAAAAGTAAATTACTTTATTTGTTTGGCTTAAAGATTGAACCAATGAAAATAAATGTCAGCTAAAAGTTCTTACTAAGTCAATATGAAGAACGAACAAAACAAAGTAAATGTATTTTTGTTGGTATGTATTTACTTGTTATTGCGTCTCAATGGACACCATTAAAATTCTGAATAAGAACAAATAAAAAAATAAAATAATATGTGTTTATTCCTATACAGAACAATCATTTATTGTTTAGATTTAAATGAATAATCAAATGTAAGTTAAGTTTAAAAATTGATATTGAAATTAAAGAAAATAAAACAATTTATCTTTTTTAAGTTCAATGATTGTTACACCAAAAATATCTCAAGAAAAAGTATGAATATATATATATATATTATAAAATAAAATAGTTTAAATATGATTCATCTAGGGTCAAAGTGATCCCGAAGAATCATTTCAGAGACTTGAACATATCGGTCGTGGATCATTTGGAGTAAATTATGTCATTTAACTTTTGTTTTTCTTTAAATTATTTTTCTTTAGGAAGTTTATAAAGGTCTCAATAGAAAATTCTCAAATATAGTTGCAATAAAAATAATCGATTTGGAAAAATCTGAAGATGAAATTGAAGATATTCAACAAGAAATTCAAGTACTTTCTCAATGTAATTCACCATATGTTACAAAATATTTTGGTTCTTATTTGAAAGTAATAAAATATTATTAAAATTTAAAATTTAATATATTTATTTTATTTATTTTATTTATAAAAGGGAACAAAATTATGGATTATTATGGAATATCTTGGTGGGGGTTCAGCATTAGATTTAATGAAACCTGGGGCATTTAATGAAAAATATATATCGATTATTTTACGAGAAGTTCTTAAAGGTCTTGAATATTTACATATAGAAAAAAAAATTCATCGAGATATAAAAGCAGCTAATGTTCTTCTTTCTGAACATGGAGATGTTAAATTAGCAGATTTTGGTGTTGCTAAACAATTAACAGATTCGATTAATAAAGGTACTACATTTGTTGGAACACCTTTTTGGATGCCACCTGAAGTTATTATGCAACATAAATATGATTATTCGGTAAGATTATATAAATCTATATTATTTTAAATAATTTCTTATCAGCATATCTATCCAACACATTAATTACGTTTGAGCTAAGATTTTTTTCATAAGTAAAACTCATATTGTAGATAAAAACTGTAGAAGAGTTTCTCTCATTGGATCTTTCTTCTTGAGTCATGATCATTTTAGGAAATTTTCCTAATAATAGAACTTATCATCCTCATTATATCTTGAAAAAACTCAAACTTTCACCATATAATAAGGATTAGGAGTTTTATTATTGGAAAAGTTTTCAGACGGAAATTTTTTGTTGAGCTTGTTTTCATAATATTCTGGTATAGAATGAAAATTTCCTAAAATGACCATAACTCGAGAACAAAGGCCTAATGACAGAAACCCTTCGACGATTTCTATCTACAGTATGACTTCTACTTACAAGAAAAATTTGAGCTCAAACAGAAGTTATATCATATTATATATATATATATATATGGGTGAATCGTATTCTATTTGTACACTTTCATCATCGGTACTAAATCATTAATATCTCTTGTTTGGACGCTCCGATTCACTTGAAAATTTCACAGAATACTCTTGTCAATGGGCTTCTACACTTCTGAAATTTTTAGTAGTCTGCATCATTCCCATCTCGAGTTATTCTTGATGAAAGTGAAAAAAAGAAGAATTGCCCACTCCCCTCCCCCATCTTCTGACGAAGAGAAAAAATTTTTCAAGTAAGAAAAGTGTATGCTCGCATTTTCTTCATTGCAATTAGATAGAAAAAAGTGCAGAGAGTTAGAATCTGACTTTAGTTTTCTTTAAAACAGTTATATTTAATAAATATACCCAATATTATCGACTATGCAGATACTTTAGGTTTTTTTTTTGTCCCGTCATGTCAAAATATGATTTTCTCTTAGCAGATATATGTTGACCAGCTTGAAGCGGTTTTAAAATGAAGATGACTGGTGGGAACAAATTTTCTGGAAATAAAGTCCCGATTGCATCGAGACCTTGAATGGGTATGGACGAAGAAGTTTGGAAAAAGTCACATATATAGGGTGTCCAGTAATTCACTAGAGTTGGAGAAAAAAATTTGAATATTTTCATGAATCTTCAACCAAATGAGCTGAATTTTTTTTGGAAGGTAGANAAATATTTATTTATTAATAATAAATATGAAAAACAAAATCAAACCTGGTGCATTATATTCAACATGATAAGATTGTTGATTAATTAATAATGTTTGACAATTAATCCATGCTTGTTTATTTGTTTCATTTTCATCAATTAGTTTATTATTCTTATCAGTTAATTTGACAATAATTGATTCTTTTTCATTATTCTTGCCAATATTAGTTTCTTGTTTTTTAAGACGTTTATTTGATTTATTTTCTTTAATAAGAGCACGTTCAATATTAGCTTTTAAACGATTTATTGTCTGTGAAAGAGATTCATCAACAGAACGTAATAAACTAAATTGACGACGTTTTCTTGTTGAAGGTATTTCATAAACCATTTGAATAAGAATTTTAGTTGATTCATCTTTATCAAAGACAAAACATGTTCGATTATTTGATGCCATAAATAAATTTAATTTTGTTGTACGATAAGATTTTTTCAGAATGGAAAAAAATTCACGACTACGACTAGAATTACGAATCGAATTTACATTGAATAAACGAACAAAAAGAAGCATCTTTTTTTTTTTGTTATATACAAAAGAAAAAAAAAAATAAATTTAATTTACCTCAAATTGATTTTCTTATACAATTTATTCTTCTAATAGAATATTGATTAAATCTCAAGTTGTATACCTGTTAAAACGAACTTTCATTTTCAAGGAAAAGACATAATGAGATCTATTGAATTATCTCTATTTATATGCTCCGAATTGTAATAAACTTGAGTAATTCGTCTGTGTTGGCTAATTACTGAGTCATTACTTTGTTTATTGAAAAAAAAAAAACTCTCAATAAATGGAATGAAATCTAACTAAAACGAGGAAGATATTTGTGTGTATATTTTGAAATACATTGATTTATTTGTTTGGCTTAAATTTCTAACCAATAGAAATAGATGCCAGCTAAAAGTTCCTGCTAAGAGAAAATCAAGAACGAATAAAATAAAATGTATTTTTGTTCGTATTATTTACTTGTTATTGAGTCTGAATGCAGATCATTTTAATTGAAAATAAGAACAAGTAAAAAAAAAGAAGTAAAAGTAAATGTGTTTGGACGTATATAGAAGAATAAGTTATTGTTTAGGTTTGAATAAATAATCAAATGTAAGTTAAATAATCGATAAAATTCAAACTAAAATGAAACCTTTTTTTTTTCCTAAGAGTTCAATGAGTGTTACTTCAAAAGTATCACAACAAAAAGTATGAAAATATTTATTTATTTTTAATTTAAAAATATATTTCAAATATGATTTATCTAGGGTCAAGTTGATCCCGAAGAATTATTTCAATGACTTGAACATATTGGTCGGGAATCATTTGGAGTAAATCATTTCATTTACCTTCTTTTTTTATAGTTTTGTTTTTTTTTTTTTCTAAAGGAAGTTTATAAAGATCTAAATAGAAAATTATCAAATATAGTTGCTATTAAAATAATCGATTTGAAAAAATCTGAAGATGAAATCGAAGATATTCAAATACTTTCTCAATGTAATTCAGCATATGTTACTAAATATTATGGTTCTTATTTCAAAGTAATTAAATATCTATTAATTTTTATATTATGCTAAAATAAATGTATTTAATTTCTAAAAGGGAACTAAATTATGGATTGTTATGGAATATCTTGGCGGTGGTTCAGCATTAGATTTTATGAAATCTGGTGCATTGAATGAAAAATATATATATAAAGCTATTATTTTATGAGAAGTTCTTAAAGGTCTTGAATATTTACATACAGAAAAAAAAAATTCATCGAGATATAAAAGCAGTTAATGTTCTCCTTTCTGAACATGGATATGTTAAATTAGCTGATTTTGGTGTTGCCAAACAATTAACAGATTCAATTAATAAAGGAACACCTTTTTAGATGTCACCTGAAGTTATTATGCAACATAAATATGATTATTCCGTAAGATTATTATTATATTATATCTTGTTTTAAAAAAGACTAATGTTTTATAAATGTCAGTCTTAAGAATTTCGATAATTTCAATTTTTTCATTAAAATAATTTGATGATGTCAATCATTATATTTAAAATATCAAAATAATAATAACAAGTGAAGATTATCGAATATTTATTTTCTTTGATCGATATAATATAATATTATCCTATTATTGAGATTTAGTTCAGAATAAATTTAATATATCGATTTGACATTTAAACTAAAACATGTTCTTGACAATTTAATGTCAAAAATATTGAAGAAATTGATCTCACATATAACATAAAGATTAGCTTATTTAAATATTCGTTAACTTCATTTTCTTCTATTTATCTAGAAGATTATAAGAATAATTACGTTTTATATTCATAGAGTAATATATTGAAAAAACATCGTCAAACATATCATTCTAATCTAGATAATATTTTCAAAGATAAACTCTCACTGTACCATAATTAATCGCTCTTTTTATCAACTAATACATTTATTATAAGAGAATGTATGTTTACATATATATTATATTATAAAAGCTAAATCAAAATATATAAAATAAGATATTATTTTAAATAAAACATATTAGATGATGAAAGTATGACATGTGCAAATAACAGATATTGATTATGATTCACTTATTATTAACCGAATGAATAATATTACTTTTATTTCTATAATAATTAATCCATTCTTGAATATTTGTCGATTTATTTTCGAGATAGTTTTTATTTAATTGTCGTTCTTTTTTTTTTCTTTGTTATTGAATTCTCTATAGATTTGTATTCTACTAATCATGATTAATTGTTTCTATTAATTAAATAAATTGAGTCAAATAAAATTTAAATAAAGAAATCTAACTATCATAATATATTGTAGGCAGTTATATGGTCACTTGGTATAACATCAATTGTATTAGCAAAAGGTGAAACACCTAAGTCGGATTTACATCCAATGCGTGTTTTATTACAAATTCAAAAAAATTCTCCACCACAACTATCTGTAAAAGATTATTCCGATTCATTTCGAGATTTTGTTGCAGCTTGCTTACAAAAAAATCCTGAACAGGTATTTTAAAAATGAAAATAATAATTAAATAAATAATTTTTCTTTTATCTATTTCTATTGATAAGAGACCAACAGCTACACAATTACGTCGATTCAAATTTGTTTCAACAACAAAACCAACAAAATATTTAATTGAATTAATAATTCGTTATCAAAATTGAAAAAAGCATAATAATGATACAAAATCTGATAGTGATTCAAGTTCCGATGAAGATCAGTTAGTCAAATGAACAATTTATTTAATATGATATTTATTGAATTTATATTTAGATCAAAACATGATACAAATCATTGGGAATATGAAGGTGGTACAGTCAAATCAGCAGTTAATTATCATCATATTGTATGTTACATCAATTATTTTATTTTATCATAATTACGTTATTAGAAATTTTCTATACCAAGATAAATCCGTTTTATCTTTGTTGTTTGATCTATTTCATAAATGAGCATTTATTTATATTTTAATAAGACTTGTTTTACATAAAAGATAAAACGTTTTGTTTTTTCATGCCTATACATATATTGATTGATCGTTTGAGCTATAATATCGTTTTTCAAAATAGAAGAGCCCTGAGTATTATTTGAATAACTTTTGATAGGAACGAGATAGAGAACTGCGATTTTCACCATTCGAAAGGGCGATGCTCGAGCCATCGATCTGTATGGAGCTCATTAAGACAAAAGATGTTTTTTTATAGGCATCTTCTGATCAACACTTTTTTCTTTGCGTATTTTCACAATAATCTCAACTCAAATTATGTCAAAATGTAGCTCTAATCACACTTTTTTCGTTGTGAAGTTAACATTTTTTTTTTTTAAATCCACATACAATAAATGGCTGAGAGATAATGAAAATTGTGATAATTTTATAGCGAAAAAATTGTGATTCAAACTACATTTTGACATAATTTGAGTTGAGATTATTGTGAAAATTGATGAAAATACTCAAAGGAAAAAGTGTTCATCAGAAGATGTCTATAAAAAAAACATATTTCGTCTTAATGACTTCTATACGGATCGATGGCTCGGACATCACTCTTTCGAATGGTGAAAACCCGCAGTTCTCTATCTCATTCCTATCAACAGTTGTTCAGAAAATACTCAGTGCTCTTCTATGTTGAAATCGATATTAGTTATCTTTCTTTTTTTTTAAAGAAAACTCGAGCCTTTTCATTAATAATTGCCCAAAAACTTCATCGATGGAAAAGTTTGAAAAAGAAAAACAAATTATTGAACATTTTCATAATCTGTTAATAGATGTATCAGTTTATCGAGTTATTTATCTTCATATTTTTTTGAACTTAGATAAACATTGATTTGATTGTTAATAAAAATAAATTCTTTTTCTTGTATAATTCTTTTTGATTTTAGTGCAAAGGATCGGTTGAAGTAAATCCATCATTTAAATCGATATTTGATGATGTAATATTAATTTTAAAAATAAAACGAAATAATATATGTCTAAAAAAACCTCTATTTGTTCTGCATAGCTTTCAATTCGTTATAATATTTCATCTTCAAGTAATAATAATAATGTTCGATGAAATGGCGAAAAAGACATAGATTTATTTGAAAATTTACGTTGTCCAAATCTAAACAATGATGTCACTTGAATTATGTGTGAATATATATCAAAAATAAATAATACTTCTCAAACATTAACAAGTCAAAACAATTCAACAATAGACACTAATCATATTCAAAAAACATTAGGTGTTGTTAAAATGACCATTTAAATAATTATTTATTTAAATATCTCATCATTATATCTGATAAACATACTTTTAATATAACAACAAATAATCATTTCATAATTATTCATTTTTATTAAAACTACTCCTAAAGACAACACGTTTTTATTATTTCTTATATATCATTCCGAAGGAAAAACAAAGTAATTAATTATATATATATATCTGACAGTGATTTTATTTTCGTCGACATTCTTAACTTAATCGTTTTGTTTTCGTTTTTCATTTCTCAATCGATATAAATCTCTAGTTCGTTTTATTTTTGTCTCTAGGAGTTGTATCTTTACTTATTCTTTCAACCCGTTTTGTTTGTTTTTTTATATATTTACGAAATGATGTGAGAGAATGACATTGAAAATGATTTGTTTTCGGTTTTATTGAATTGTGTTTTTATTTTACTTATGATTATTGTTTGAAATCTATGAATTAAAAACAGTGAATAGATCTTTCAAGAAAATAAAACAATTATTTATTTTAATATATTTAGTATTTATTATAATTGATATATAAAATAATGAATGATAATGAACGAAAAGAAATAATTGATTCATGGCATATGCGTGCTGATCCTTATCATATACTGACTAAGAATTATCAAATATTTTCCGACATGGCTATGAGTATGATCAAATTTGTTGAAAAACATCGATTAAACAATTCGAAAGATATTCATATTATGGATTTAGCTGCTGGAACTGGTTTAGTTTCTAAATTATTAATTGAATATCTTAATATATCACCATCATCATTATATCTTGTTGAACCAGCTGAAAGAATGTGTTTACATGCACGAAATAATATAAAGAGTGATCATATATATAAAATGTCTGCTGAAGATTGTCTTTTAACAAATGATTTACCTCGAGATTATTTCGATTTTATTCTATGTAATGCTTCAATGCATTTAATGTCTGAAGATAATATATATCCAGTTGTATCGAAATTACTGAAACCTAAAACAGGTTATTTTATTTATACAATATGGTATCATTCATTTGATGAAACTGAACATTATCAGAAAAATCAATTTATAGAAACATATATTAATGATGCATTAACTTTTTTTAATTATCCAATCTATTTTTCAACAACGAATAGAAAAAAAACGAAAACAAATCGTTCAAGAAAATATTTAGAAGAAATAGCAGATAAATATGGACTTAAACTTGAATCATGTACAATTCATATTCATCGAACACCCCTTTCTTTTGATCTTGATTTTATGTTAATGACACCAAATTGGTTAATTCAACATTTAAAAACTAATCAACCATCTGAATATGAAGATACTTATTTAATTCGAGAACGTATTATTGAAAAAGTTCAACAATTAATTGAAGGAATATTTACTGAAATACCTGTTGTCAATATAATTGTCTCAAGAATTTTAATTAATTAATTAATTAACAATAATATAAATCAAGCAAGATTTTTTTGTGCTTTTTTAGATAAATGACTGAACATATCAATTTTTAGTAGCAGGTGTATCAAGCATAAGCAAAACACAGAACATCTGCTGCTGTTGGCTTAAACGCTGTTTTACATGTTACTAATAAAAGCAGAGTGTGCATGATAGACATTACTCTAGAAATTTACACTTTTGTTTCAGCATTTTAATTTGTTTATACTATATTAAATTAAAAATTTTGTTTTAAATTATCGTAGAGTAGGACCTCTACCCATCATTATTTCCATTTGCTAGGTATATTTTTTCGACTCTTTCTCGCTTTCGATCTCATCACTACTTCACAAAGATCACTTGGTCGACTAGCACCATGGAATAAATGCATAGACAAAAGGCACTAAAGAAAAAGACATTATGCTTTATTTTACGATTTCCTTATATTGGTTGTCATATCTGATGGTGTACATAAAATTTTTTACGATATCATTTCCTACCTTCATATTTCTTTAGATGAAGAAAACAATTTTAAAAGCATCACCAAAAGTTTTACGAGGACATTTAAATCATCAAGAGATGTGTCGACGTCGTCAACATGATTCAGAATTGGCAATAGAAAGTAATCAATAATCTTGTAGTCCAATCAATCCCTTTCTCGTCTCCAAACGAGTCCGTTCATATAAGTTTTTTTTTCTCAAAAGAACTGATCGAAAATTCGAAAAGTTTTCCGGACCACATATTAGAAGATTCGGGGGCTTGTCATACATGAGGAAGAATAAGTACTGACAAAATAATCATCTGTACTCTATATGTATAATTCTTGAATGATTCGTTCATATTTTACTTTAAACAAGGATGTGAGAGATCTGTGAAAAAAAAAGAAATAACATACTTTGTGTTTGATTAGATATTATTCAAAATATAGCCTCGTAAATTGAACCCAAACCTAATACAATGACATGTAAAGCATCATTTCTTTCTCAAACCAGTAAGGAGTAATTCGATTCAGCTGCTGCTGTCGAAATTCCTTTATGTTGATCTTAACTCGTCTCTTTATTATCTTTTAGCTACTCAACCTTTATTATTCACCCTAAATAATTTAACATTAGATGGGTAATTATTTTATCTACCAAAAATATTTCATGTTTCTAAAACTTATAGTTTGAACTTGAACGAACGTAAAAGAAAGCGCGCCAACTCATTGAAATCTGCAGCCTCCCCTCCCATCCAAAAAAAAATTTCCCCTCTCAGTGTCTTTCCAGATGAACTTGGAAATATTTCTTCATTAGAAACTAATACAACAAATGCTCCTTCTGAAGGTGAAAATTCATCTCATTTTCGTTGCAATAACTTCTAGAGAGCTGATTATTTTAGGAACAAATACTGTTTTTTGAGCAGCACATTGTGAAACAAATGATTTGATAGAACGAAGTGCTGCTGGTATTGTTGCACAACATTTAAAAGCAATTGATTCTACACATAAACGTAAATCTTCTTCACCAAAAACAAATAGGGTGTGGGTGTGGGTGTGAGTGTGCGTGTCCATGAAAAGAGAAACCACACCCATACCCACACCCTCATACCCACGCCCTCACTCATACCTCCACACCCACACCCACACCCCACATCCACACCCTCTCAATATCAGTTATTGAGAAGATAAATAAGGAATTATATGATATTCTACTGATATTCACAAAAAGCAAACACATTGGTATAAAGAAAATTAAAATTACAGCTTGATTTTTCGTTTTCATTAACTTAATTAATTATAATTCAACTAGTCGGAGAGTTTTGTATTAATGTAGTTTTCGAACTTTAAAACGAAGAAGAAATAGATGTGATCAATCCTGTTCAGATATTGATTATTTTCAATTTTTGAATATGTGAATTTTCTGAAAGGAAGCTGAAACATCAACTTGAGTGTTATCAACAATCTCATTTTCAAGATATATCCTAAATGAAGATTAGCTAACATCTGTTCATATTATTTTTTATACGATTTTTTAAACGATTTGTCGTACTTATATATCGCAATGTGAGAAAAGTGCAGAAGTCGATTAAATTCAGTAAAAGCTAGTAAAGAAAGGAATCAATCTACAAAAGAGATTGACCTCATTTTGATTCTTCGTCTTTTGAAACTGAAAGAAGAATATTCAATCATGTAAGAAGCAATCATCTTTTGATACATACAATGTTTAGAACTCTTTCCTTAATTAGAGTTCTCAAACTTAAACGAACACTCCATACACTATTGATTTGTGTTTCGTCATCGTCCATCATGGTAGAAGTCAAAGCAGATATTGTATAGAAATCATTACCGCATGGAAAACCATTCGGAGCCTGCGACGATGAGAAGAATCCAAATTCGAGATTTCCATAGACGTCGTTGTATTCACAAGTAATAAACCAATATTTTTCTTGAAGCCAGAAAGGTATTTGAAATGAGGAAACAAGTGATTCGATTTCTTTTATATCAAAATTATAGCAGAAGAACGAAGAATCGAATTGGCGAAGTAAGGGGAATTTTATTGAAATAAATACTTGTAATCGAGATAAGTGCTAAAGAAATTCGAAGGTAATTACTAGACTGGTTAGGTGAAGATCAAGAAGTAATGGTGTGGCAAATAGAATGGATTTGAGTATGTGCATCGGCATTTGAATATTATTAAATGTTAAAGAGGTTATTCGTTGACAAGAATTTGGGACGATACTGTCATCTATTCTGTTTATATAGTAATATCTATTCGATAAACTATGAAAAAGTGAAGATTTGTGAAGAATAGAACCTAGTTGTTCGCCGTTACACCCACGGATATTCAATGTTTGAAGAGTAGGATAAACACGTCACGATATTTGATCGATAAGAGTCACATCAAAATTCAACACAAGAGTATAAAGAGTAGGCTTTGCAATAATTAGAGAGAGAGAAGAGAAAGAATATCGATCTTAATTTTTGAAGTTTCTGAATAGATCGACAGTAATTTGAGCAGACCAATTAATGCAATATGTTGCAAGATTATATTCAACTGAGATTGTTGGATATTAACTTTTTTGTGATTTCAATATACGAAACGAAGTGATCGTAAACACTCGTCAGTGCGTAGAAATATTTAGAACTGTATCGAATAGGAAAGAGTGTGCTTTCAGCATCTAAATAGTCGAAAATTTGACGGAGAAGTTCAGTAGGTGAGATAGTAAGAGACACCAGTCGTTCTATAGCCAACGATTGTGTGAGTTTTTGTGAATATAAATGTTGATTGGTTCAAGACTTGGGTGGTTTAAGTTCGTAATTGTGAAACCTGATCTGTTGGTAAATCAAGTCGTGCCGTCGATTATTTGCAATGTTTTGCTGTTTCTTTGCATTGAAATACAACAAGCATATGCGATTCTTCATGACTCATTTCTTTGAAGAGAAAAAAGAGATAACCAGCCTTTTCGTTTTTAGTTTTCTTTCACAGAAGACAAAGAAATACAAAGCAAAAATTTGTGAAAAAGAAAAGAAAGAATAGAGTAACACAACAGGCATGGTCACACAATTGAATTTCAAGCAAATATGCGCGTCAAATCTTGATGTCAATCTAGATCGGATTGGGATTAGTTTTTTTTCAAAACAATTTACGTACTACAACTTATTTTGTTGCGATATCAGAATCGAAACTATATTGTTCGCTTACATGATTAACTATCAAAGATTGATTTTTTTATTTGATTTAATTCTTGAAAAATCCATTTCATCAATGCTGAAAAATCAAATTCTAATCAGATTTAAATCGTGACGTTTAAACCGCTTTAACTGTGATTTTAAATAAAGAAATCGATTCAAACCGGACTTCTTGTCAAAAATCCTCTACGTAAGTACTTAACAGTGTCTTATTTTCGGTGATGACTTTCGATGATGCCGCATAAAAATAACCCACAGACAAGATTGTAATGACAAAATGAGAAATTGTTGGTAGCATGCGTAAGAATGAAGATGAAAAGAGAAGGATACACTATATTATAAATAGAACAACTAGAATTTCTTCTTCTTTCACGTTGAGTTGAGAAAAATTCAGGTTCAGCATTAGTATTGAGTTGGAAATAGTTCATTCTACGTTCTTGTCTTCTGTCAATTCATGTAAAAATAAATGTTATCAAAAAAGGTTAAAACTAAGGTGTGAGCGGGTGCAGGGCTCGATTGTTTTTGGGTGTTCGGGGAGGGGGAGGCGCTAAAAATTTTGGCACAAAGTCGACGGTTTCGCAGAAAATGATGAACCTACTAAAAATCCGAAGTTCTTTGTTAGTGAGAAACACTAGTAATCATGACGTATTCAATATAAACATTCTTCAATATAAATTATTCCGAAGCGAAAAGATACAAATATTTTAAAAATTAGTCTTCAGCACTATTTCAAATGCATACCTGAATATATCTCAAGTAAGAAAGGATGATGACACATAACAGCAGAAATAACATCGACTTTCTGCGAGAAATTCGACAAAAATAATATCAACTTAAGTAAGTCAACTTGAATAAAACAATAATATATCGGAAGAGATTAGAAATGCTGTATAATTTAATTTTACATGTACCACAGGAAGTTTTTACCTTTATGAATACGATCATCATTAGCAAAGAAGACATTATCTATGACTATGAGTTTACTTTTATTCATAACAAACAACAACTGTAGAAAAAACTAAAACAACAATAGCTCTGTTACCATATACAACAATTCAATAAATCCATATAAACATAATCATAATATACAAATACCCTTGATCATTTAAATCTACTCTAGTATAAATAAATATCTTCAATTTGACATAATCTCTACATTTCAAGCGTTTAATTTTGCAGGAACATAATAAATAAGTAAGTAAGTGAGTGTGGAGTCTGGGTGTCAGTGAAAAGAAAGGCTACACTCACATACTCCATCTACCCACATCTACATTCTTATGAAAATGTTCGGTAGTCATTTGTGTCTGATATTCATTTGCTGTCGAGTAAAAAT